ACACACAAAGGTCACGAATGTGCGGACGCGCTGTCGTTGCCGGAGGCGCCGCTCGGCTATGCTGGCAGAGCCTGACCCGTCAGGGGTGATGTTTCGTACTGTTTTCACGAGCGGAGTCTACTGTTGCTTATTTGGTTTGACTGCTGCTTCCTCCAGCGCAGCGAGAAGGGTGTTTTTTGCCTTCTGGTGTTTGCTTGTGTTGTTTTGTGTGGGTTCTTCTCTTGTGCAGGACCGCAGGTACACGTGTACTGGCTGATCGACGGGCTACGTCACCACCTCTCTGGCTCTGTTCAGTTTCGCGGTGAGACGTTTTTTGAGGCTCTTAGGTCGACATGGCTCTTCTGCGTTCGTACATGTGGTTGGTCGATGGAGTGGGGTTGCTGATCCTTTAAGGTTTGGTGACCGTTGTCTAATGATTGGGAGAAGGTTTAGGGGTAGGGTAGTTATTGGGGGGGGGGGGGCATACGGAAAGGCCCCCTGGACAGCGTTATCTTGAGAGTTCTTGTACTCTTCCCCCTGACGAGTCCACTTGCGGGGTTGGACGAAACGCGTTGGGGATTTGCCGCATGACTGTACCTGTTTTTCAGGAACTTTGTGTTTGTCTGAGCTTTTGGGTATTTCGCTATGTCTTTTAATGCATATATATGCATGTGTGATGGAGCGTGTTTTTCATTGCGAATCTTTGCTCTCCGTCCTCATGTGTCCGCTGTCTGTGCCGGGCAGCTTGTTTTCTTCTACTCTTCTTCTACAGCTATAATGAACATGTGTTCTGTTTGGGGGGTAGCTATCACCCAATTGAATAGCATTCAAGATCATGACACAATTCATAATTTGCAGGAGGAATTATCTCATGGCCATTGGCCATTTCAGAAGAAAGAGTAAAAGGGGGGCTGCTCTTATCACCTCTCCTAGCGGTTGGACTGGTCTTTTGAAAAAAAAAGAAAAAAAGAAAAAATAAGCATTGGAGTCACACCCGACGTTCAGAATAGGCCGCCTTAGCAGTTCCCCAAATGGAGCAAAAAAGGCGTCCACCCTAAATCTGCAAAGCGCCACTGCGGGTAATGAATGACTGGCACAGTTTTAGACCCCCGCTAATTTGAAACTCACGCCATCAAGATGACACCGGCGCCACTTCGTCTTTTCTTGCCTATTTCAAACCAAAACTGTGTCACAGCCACAGTTTCCACATAAATGATGCACAGGAAGTACACAAGGCCACACCTCATAGCACAGTGGCCAGCTTGCACCAATGTGGCCACCCTAATGACACCCGGGCCTGGATGAATGTATGGGCAATTGTGGCCCAGATGCAGAGTGCAGTCTAAAAGTCCTGGTGTGAGGATGCTCTGAGTACCAATTCCCTGTCAAACAAGACTTTCTCAACTTTCTGGTTTCGGATCTCAGGGGTCAGGTCCCACTACGGTCTTCCCCCGAACACAACGCACACTTATTTTGGCTGTATCTGGACGGAATTATAGCTTGTATACATTCATTTTTAGGTTGCGTTATGTTCGGGGGAAGAAGGTAGCAGCCTTGTGTTTCCTCAACTGCTGAATGTGGATGTGTTTGTGGGGATGTGCAGAAATAGTGTTGATTTTCTTTAACCGGATATCTCCACGAACACGTCCAGATTCAGCCGTTGAGAAACTCAAGGCTGCTAGTGGGACTTGGCCCCAGGAGTCAGGAACTGCAGTCCATCTCGACCTATAATGACTGAAGCTGGTTTTGGTGAGAAGAAAAGTGGTTTTAAACCACCTGCAGCGGCACGTGGGTTTATATACTTAGAAAAACAGAAGGGGCAGCTGCAGGGCGGTCACAAAAACAGTTTGAAATTGCACTTCAGGCATTCCCCTGAACATAACAGACCCCTCTTTACCGTACCGGACCAGAAAGCTAGCTTGTATACATTCGACATTTTCAGGCAGAATGCCTGAAGTGCAATTTCAAACTGTTTTTGTGACCTCCTCGTAGTACCCCCCCCCCAAAAAAAAAGAAACAAGTACAGATGTGGCAGGTTGTGAGTTTGCAAAAGCAAAAAAAAAAAAAAAAACACAGGCGCGAGTTTGAAACGGCGATTCTAGTCAAAATAAATCCGTTGGCCCTCTTTTTTTCCCCCTTTCCCATCTGGCACCATGGCCCTCCCTTGTAGTTATGACGCCTGTCCCTCTGTCACGGCCATGGTATACTTTAATTGCTTCTTTGTTAAAAACTGCCTTTTGGCTAAGGTCAAGTGTAGTATCTGTTCTGATCAGTTTAATATCTGATCCGTGTTCCATCGGACCACACAATATTAATATTATTAAATTCATTTTTCATTAAAAAAAAAAAAACCTGCTCCCGAGTCACACTTTTAGTTTGAAACAGGTATGTATAAAATAAATGGAACTGTCATCGTGACGCGAGTTTAAAACTCGCAATTTCAGTCGAAATAGATCCGTTGGCCATTCTGTTTTCCTTTTTCCCCCTAGTATCCCATCTGACACCACGGCTTGGGCCCCGTATTTATGACACCTGTGGCTCTGTCACGGCCGCAGTACTTTCATTGCGAGTTTCAAACTCGCGCCCTGACGACAGCACCATTTAGTGTGTATTCTTGGCTAACTGCTGTTGCCCCTTGCTTTTTCTTAACTCAGCGGCCGTTTGTTTTGCTGGCGCGTGTTTTTTCTTTGCCTATTTAAACTCTGTTGTGACATCAACGTACTTGTACTGGCCCCCAAAAGGACACTGTCAGAGAGACTGGTTTGCGTTGAACCAGTCTGTTTTTTTTTTTCAAAGAATACAGCCGCATTCTCCCAGTCTGTTTGACTGAGTGGATTGTTGCTTTTTTCACAAACCTGAGAGCATAGGGGCTCGTTAGACACTCCTCGGGCACGTAAATCCGCCGAGGACAACATTGTTCCACCTATCCTCGGGGACGTAAAAGAGAAGAAAATGTGAGACCATTTCGTCCGGGAATCCTCCGGGCGTCCTCGGGTTACAGCCATTTGGTGGCCTTCCCCAAGGGACCTCTCGAGGTCCCTCGGAGGTCAAGGATCTGCAATAATTGGAACGGCGAGGGCAGCCATCGGCTGGAAGAAATTATTGTTGGCTGGTCCACTGGAGTACCTACCAGGCACCGCACAGACATCTTGGGCTTAGAATGTCCGGGTTCCAGGAACCTTACACCAACGGTAACCGTTGGTGTCCGGCCAGCCCCCGCGAACGTCGTCGACCAGTGTTCTCCCTTGCAGTGCGTGCCGCCAAACGGAAAGCCTTAGGGGTCGAACGGTCGGCAAATTTGAATATTTTGGCCGACCAAAGTTTCTATTCCCAGCTGTGCTCCACAACACAAAACATTAGAGGGCGTTTGTCGAATTCTGCGGTCTGCTGTTTGCTGCCCTCTTCGTCACCGTTTGCTGGAGGCGTACCGGCATGGTGTAGTTACTGCCCTTAAAGTTCCCCACGTGTAGTTCATGGCCGACATCTTCCGAAGGTTGCTGCTGCTGCTCCTGGTCATCATTGTGCTTGTCCTTCTCACCCTCTTCCACATCTGCATCCCCGGCAGGCTGCCTGGACGCACACGCAAGAGGCGTTCATTGAAGAAGGGCGTCAACATGGACGGACGGCAGGCGAAGAACAGGTCTTCAGTGGACCGTTTCGCAAGCCACCTCACACGCCACGTCCCCACAAGCAGTGCAAGGGCGTACGACCCGTCTGCATACGCAGACCTGCCACCACACGAGCAACCTCTGCCTGATACGTCAGATGAGGAGGCGGAGGAAGCACGGTCACGGACTGTGGCACTGGGGAGCGGGTCCAATAAAAAGAGAATGAAAGACCACCCAGGAGTGGGCGGGGAGCCAGTTGCTGCGAAACCGCGCGCTGATTGAGCGCGGGCCTGGCGCTCGTATTTTTGAGCGGCGCTCAAAGGCGCGCTCGAGCGCGCCTTCAGCGCCTCGAGCGCTTTCGCGGGAGGGGTGTGTACCGGGGAGGGGAAGGGTCGGTGTCGGGTATGTGGGTCTTGGGCGCGGGAGTAGGGGTGGGGGCGGGGTGGGGGGGGTTGTATCCACCCGAAAACCAAACAGGAAAAAAAAAAAAAAAAAAAAAAAAAAAAAAAAAAAAAAATCGGGTAGGACGAAAGTCACGAAACGGTCGAAAGTTCTCAAAACCGTTCATAACGAAGCGCGCGCGGATGAGCGTGCACTCATCCGCGTCGGTGCACGCTCAAACGCTGAGCGACTCAGAGCGAGCAGTCGGGCGCGAGAGAGAGAGAGAGAGAGAGAGAGAGAGAGAGAGAGAGAGAGAGAGAGAAAGAGAGAGAGAGAGACCTATACGAGAGAGAGAGAGACCTATACGAGAGAGAGAGAGAGAGAGAGAGAGAGACCTATACAAGAGAGAGAGAGAGAGAGAGAGAGAGAGAGAGAGAGAGAGAGAGAGAGAGAGAGAGAGAGGACGCTGCAGGCGACGCCACGACGTCGGGGATGACGACGACGATGACGACGACGACGAGCGAGCGAGCGGGCGGGAGCGGGATTTTTGAACGCGCGCTACCGGGGGGCCGTGCCGCGCGGTGCAGGGGAGGGCGGCGGGGACCGGGGGCACAGGGGTTCTGGTGGGCATAGTCCCTGCTGCGGACGGCTGTCCCCTAACGGGAGAGGCCGTGCCACGCGCTGGAGGGGAGGGCGGCGGGGACCGGGGGCACAGGGATTCGGGTGGATTCGGGTGGGCATAGTCCCTGGTGCTACCGCCTGTCCCCTAGCCGGTGTCGCCCGCCTGCACGCGCGCTTAGCAGGTGGGTATTGTGAGGTTAAATGGAGAGAAGAATATAGTTTGAAAAAAAAAAAAAAAAAAAAGGGAGGCCCGCGCCGCCTGTGGACCGACGACGGGTTGGTGGAGGGCTGGCGGCGGCGACGGGCTGGCAGCGCCCCAGCGGCGGAACACCACAGGTTGTTCGTGAGGACCGGGTGGCATTTCGGCGGTAGCTGAGGGTTGGGAACGGGGTGAACGCAGCGTTGCTGAAGGCTGTTTCTTACGGGTCGACTGGCGTGGCGACAATGCCGAAGCGTCAAGGAAACACCTTCGTCCAGGCCAGCGACGACACGCAGGCGAGCATGAAGAATTCAAACTGCATTTACAAATACGTGCTCGTTGGCCAGGAGCTTTCTGAGAAGCTCCGTGGTCAAAGGATGCTTCGGTGCGTGTTCTGCGGGAACGAGTGGCAAGGGAACAGGCATGGCGCGGCGCGACATTTTCGTAGCGTGAAGGGATGTTCGCATGTGACCGACGAAGCTCTTATGGAGATGCATTACACGAGCGGTTACGCATTTGAGGGAAAGTGGTTAGAGCGGATCCACAAGTACGAGGAGCTTCACGGTCCTTGGGTGGATGAGGGGAGGACTGGCGGGGGTCAGGCGCAGACGCGGGCGACGTCCAACGCCCCAGTCAGAGCCCGACAACAGGGCGATGACGTCGTCGATTTGGATGGCGAGGGAGAGGATTGCGGGGCCGCAGGGGTTAAGGGGGAGGTCGAGGCTGCATACTCACAGCCCTCAGGCAAGTTGCCGGTCCGTGAGGGTGGTTCGAATTCAGGGAAGAGGAAGGGTGTGGTTGGTGTGACGATGGAGCAGGGGAAGAAGATGAGGCAGCCGGGGATAAAAGAGGTGTTTGGGTCTGACTGGGCTGTTCAACACAGGAAGTTGTGGTTGCACTTCATGTACAATAACCAACTTCCCTTCAACATCTTTCGGAGCCCGACGTGGAAGGCGTACACTGCACACTTCAGGGACAAACCCGCTTCAGTCCCCGTGGTATGGCCTTCTGAAAACGAAGTCGCATCGATGGACACAATGCTTGAGACGGCGACGAACGTTGTTGCGGGTCTCAAAGACATACAGGAGCCGTTTGACTGCATAGGGGCGACGATCATGTCCAATGGTAGGAAGTCTCGTGATGGGAAACCCATCGTGAACTTCCTTGCAGCCGGTGCTCGAGGAGTGATGATGAATCGCACCCTCAACAGGGAGGGTGAGAAAGATGATGCGCTTGCAGTGTTGGGGAGGTGGATATCGGTTTTGCACGACTTCGGACCCGACAGGGTTAACGCCATTTGCACAGACTCTGCGTCTGCCTACGTAAAGGCAGGCAACGCTTTGGCCCATCCTCACATGCGGCCTGAGTACAAACGGATTACGTGGCTTCCCTGTGCTGCGCATGTGTGCAACAAATTGTTGTCGGACATCGGGACAGCGGGCCCGTGGTGCGTAGACATTATTGTGCGGGCGAGAGCGGTGGTGCATTTCATAAAAATGCACGGCCGAGATGATTTTTTGTTCAGGAGAGAGAGTCGCCATCTAGGTTTGTTGTACTCTTGTGAGACTCGCTTCGCTTCTGTGTATGCGATGCTGGAGCGGTTGGATGCTGTGCGGCATCCTTTGGAGCGGATGGTGGATGGGACAGACTGGTGCAGGGAGCCTTGAGCGACTACGTCGATCAGGCAGCATGCGCGATGGGTGCGGTGGCAGATCCGGCATGGCAGTTGGTGGGACTCCATGGAAGTCATCAACCCACACTTTGACGGCAGATCCGGTATGGGAATCGTGAGACGATGTCTCGACAGTCCTTCACCGAACTCCTGGAAGAGGGCATTCGCGAAAGCGACACGGATGGCGGCGTGAACCTTTCATTCGGGATGTGTGGAGGGAGCTCATCGACCGCCACACGAACTGTCGTCGTCAACCCACACTTTGACGGCGACGCAGGGTAAGTAACGCTAGTTGGCCGATCTGCAAATGCTTCCTCCGGAGACTGGGTGGCATCAGATAAGACAAGGGAGTGTCCGAGAGTGCAGTCGATGCCGGCATCAGCAGTACCTGTTGTCGGTGGTCGTCCAAAGTGGATGCAGCCTCCATCGTTGTTGCTGAAGGTGCCATCAAAGGAAGCCGCATGCCTGAGTGCCTAAGTCAGGCTAAGTGCGAGGCGATTGACGAAGATTTCACATTCGGTGGTGGGGAATTGGATGGGAGGCAGGTGTGGGTGAAACATCCGCACCAGGTGCGTCAAGAACACGAGGAGTCGATAACACGGGGGGTGCAGCGACTGCACTTGCGGGAGCTGAACACAGAGAAGGAGCCACCAGTAGTGGACGCCAACGATTACGAGGATGCCGCCGAGGACGAGAAACGGCAGGACGACAACACGGGTGATGTTTGGCCGTTGCGAAAGAAATTCATGGATGGTCGGGGCAGGAACAGCAAGGCTTCTGCCTGGAGTTCGCGACATGGACAAAAAATGGGCGCCTGTGGGGAGCGAGGGCGAAGGCGACGTGAAGGCCGAGGGTGGGCGGAACTTCTGGTCAGTTGAATACATGGTCACCCTCATCAGGGCGAAGAGGGACCAGGACGCACATCTGCAGGGGATGGGTCACGCGCACCCTCTCATAAAGCCGAGAGAATGGAAGTGGGTGGATGTTCACGAGAGGTTGAAGAAGGTGGGCGTTGACAAAACAACAGACAACTGAGACAAGTGCAGAAAGAAATAGGACAACTTGATGCAGCAGTTCAAAGAGGTGCACCTGTTCCAATGGGAGTCTGGGAAACACAATTTTTTTCAATTAACGGGGAAGGAGACTTAGGAGAGGTCAGCGAATGGCTTCAGTTTCACCATGGATCGGGCCGTGTATGCGGAGATCAAGGGGTCGATCGCGAAGAGTCACACCATACACCCAAAGAATGTCGCCAACACAGGCGGTTCGGGTGGTGTGCAGCTGCCGTCCGGGTGTTATGGCGGGCCTGAATCTTTGGGCGATGGGAACGCTGGTGACACAGGCAATGAAGAAGACGACAACTCCACAAAAGATTCTTCACCAACGACAGGTAGCCGTGGCGGTTTTGACAAGAGGAAGAATATGCAACAACAGACTTTTGACGCTCTGACGGAGTGCATGGACAAGCACCGGACACTAATGGCGATGACGATGGAGACATTGGAGAGCGCTAGCAAGAGGCAGTGCTCCATCCAAATTTTGCAGTGCCAAGTCGTGGAAGCGAGGTTGAGGTCCAGAAAAAGCACTACGCAACATGCGACGATGTGAGCAAGCTCATGTGCCATGCACTCTTGGAGATAGCAAAGGCTATACGGGAAAGGTAGAAACGGGGTTAGTGCCCTCCCCGACGGAGACGCGGAACTTGTTGTGTGGCCTTTGCCGCGTGCATCGTCGTCTGCCCACATGGACGCCCTATCGTTGGTCGTCCCTCTCTGTCGTTATTCGGCTGGCTTCGCCAGCGCTCGGGGGGGGGGTTGGTGGGGGAGTGGGGTTCGCTCCGTTGCTGTTTTAGTGTATTATGTTTTTTTTAATAATTTTATTAGAATTTAAAATGAAGACGACCGTTTGTGTGGGGGTCCAAATTACAGTAGATTAGTGTTAATTTTTTTCCTCGCAAATCTGTGGTGTCTTTTTGTCTCTTTTTTCCTCATTGGTTTTCGAATGTATTGGTTGTCATAACGTGCTTTGCACTTTGCGTGCTTTTTAGCTTGCTACTGCCAAGCCAAAGCCTTCTTGTAGTTCGATTGTCAGCTTTCGGAGCTTTCGGTAAATTGACGCAGCACATTCTGTGTTATTTTTGAAGTTGGTGTTCGTCCACTCTCTCTCTCTCTCTCTCTCTCTCTCTCTCTCTCTCTCTCTCTCTCGCTCGCTCGCTCGCTCGCGCGCGCGAGTGCGCCCTTTCACTCTCTTTTTGTGTTCGCGATTTGTGTTCGACAACAAGCAATTCAATGAAGGAAAAGTGGTGAATGCCAGTTTTAGGCACAGTCGGGTACGATGAGGTCGTCTATGGCATTGTAGGTAGAGCATGCGTAGGGGGTCCAGCGGTGGAATTTGCACTTCATGTGTAAAACCTTACCAATGGGAGAAAGAAAAAGCATGCCCTGTTGATAAATGCCTGTTGATGCATAAAGGTGACGTCTTTAATGCTGTCCTCCTGGGGAATATGAATCTCCGCAATTTTCGCAAGAGGCTGAAATGAAAATACGTGCTCAACTGGAACAAAAACGGTTTGCATGATCAGATGTCTTCTATTTTTGCACACGTGTTGGATCTTCATCGCAGTCGTAATCGAAAAAACAGGACGACATTGCAAAAACGAAGATAGGGTTGCCAAATGAGCGAGGTCAAACAAAAATTAATACAACCATGGAGAAGTTGTGCTGCGACAAACGCAGCCCACAATTGCCCACCAACCACCGCAACCCGCCCCACCTCATTTGGCACCTCCCGCCC